AAGAACTTTGGCCTGGCTTGTCAATTGGACGCCAGCCCAACAGATTGTCGGCAAACGGGCATGCCGCGCAAAACAAGAGAATCACGCGCAGCACTGGACTTAGAGACATTCGCCGATTGCTTTTTGGGGGTCGTCAACTTACCTGCTTTAGGTCATGCCCTTTAATTGCCTCTTTCTGGGGTCATCCCTTCAACCTGCTTGTAGTCTTTATTCATCCACACCTTCGCCTCCCCCAAGAACCTGCCAAAACCATAGTTGCGGCGTCAGTTTGAAGTGAGACCCGTTGGTGGGGTGCTATCCTGTACATGTACAAAGTACCTTCGGCAACACTCCAGGAATAGAAGAGATCTGCGTTTTGTGTTTTGTGTGTGAGAGAAGATCGCATTTTTCGGCTCCTGAAGAACGAAGAGTCATACCAAAGCGTGAGCAGAAATGTTGCGTTGATTTCCCACCAACCAGGTTCCTTTTCCTAAAGCCTTGGGGGAGCTTCCCTCCATTTCCCCCTGAAATGGACACACGCCGTTCAGCCCGGCGGGGCTTCCCGGAGGTGCTGCTGTACATCGCCCTGGATGGTGTGGCGCCGAGGGCCAAGATGAACCAGCAGCGTGCCAGGCGTGGGCCCAAGCCCTGTCGGGCCGTCGGGCCACGTGCGCGAGCCGCCTGTTTTCATTTTCGGTTGTAAGGAATACCATTTGTTTTTTCTTCTGGGAGGGTGGGGGTTCCCACCTTTTTATGGTTTTGAAGGGTTCCCAAGCGCTGGGGGAGGCCTGTTTTTTCCTTTGCCCTTTTCGGGGATTCGTTTTTTCTTCCACAGCTCTGCTGGCAAAGGACAATGCGGACAGAAGGCCCAAAAGTGTATTACCGAGCAAAGATGATGTGAAGAGGATGGACAGTTGCTTACTTTCGGCCGACTATTTGGAAGGGTTAGGAACAAGGGAATGACCTGTTCCTATGGTTGGGGAGGGAGGAGAGGCGAATTAACATTCACCTGTCCAACATGGTGATTTGTTCCCATTTTTTTGGAACAACACCAACTTGGAGTCAGAGCAGAAAAAGGAGCATTCGAAAGCGGCTGCGCCGGAGGCATATGTACTCAACCTGAACCAGTTGTGCAGCCGCCCAGGCGGTTCCGCAAAGCTCAAGACGACCCCGCCGCGGACGAGCTGGATGCCGTGGTGGAGATTTTCGCCGCAGCCTCAGTCCCAGGTCCCAATCAGCACTTGGGAGCAAGGACATCGACAGGGACGGGTCTAACCTAGGGCCAAAATTTGAAGTTTTTGGGTTGCCAACCCCGGATTTCATAAAACTCTGGTTGACTCATCAGGGGTGCGAGGGTCAACTCCCTCTGCAATTACTTAAAACAGGGGTAAACGTTGATCTTGAGGGAGTTTCGATTTGGACGCCGAACCCAACTCCGTGAGCCTGACTCGCTTGAGGACCGAAATGCCATCACTCCCGGGCCCGGATCCCCGGTAACCCGAAACCAGTTTGTTGCAGGTTGCCATGTGAGGCATGGTTTTCAGCTCCGAAACACCGGGCTCGGGTTGCCCTCGAAGTGTTGGTCTGATTCCGTATCATGGCTAGGTGCAGTATGTTCAGACTCAGCTTGTGGCTGAAGCGATCAAAACCGTTTCTGCAGGCCCATCCAAAGACGCCTTTCAACAAGCCAGTTGAGTCCATAAAACACCTTTCCTGCCAACATCGAAGCTGACTGCAGGTTGGATTATTTTCCTCAGTGGGTGTTCTGGTGGGGTCCATGTTAGTGGGAGGATGGGTGGGGTTGTTTACTACAATGAGTCACCGATCCCTGCAGTCAGGCGTAGTATTGCATGAAGAGGGCATCTTCAAGCCTCCACACTATCCTTTGGTCTTGGCAATGTTGGGTAGCGATTAATAAGAAGCGGAGTTAAGACACAAACAAGTCCGATAATTTGTCCCTTACCTGAAAGGCACTAAGGATAGGACATGTGCAACAACTTGGGGCCAACAAATCCGGAATGATTTCTAGATGGACAAGAAACAGTTTTTGGGGCTGGAATTCTAAACAGTACTGAGCCCGTATGCAAGAATACTAAACCAATACTAAACCAATACTAAACCAATACTAAACCAATACTAAACCAATACTAAACCAATACTAAACCAATACTAAACCAATACTAAACCCATACTAAACCAATACTAAACAGTGCTTACTGAAAGACTACGTACGCAAGCCCCAGTCTAACCCCCATCTTTTTTCCTCTTTTTCTCTATTGACCCCCCCCCCATTTTGTGTTGGCGGGGCCTTTACTTCCAATGAGACTTGGCGCCTCACAATGTTTCCTTTCACAGCCAGGCAGCCGAACCCCGCCTCCCCCCCGAGAACAACTGAGGGACGCCTCCATTGCCTACGGGGTCGATCTGGTCTGTTTCGAACCATGACACCCCAAGTCGACGGGTTTTCAGCTTTCATACAAAAGCTGGTTTGACGGTTTCCCTGGTTCAGGAACCCTAAGAACTCACCTTACCCTTGCTTCGCTCCTTGGTGGGTTGGACTGGGTTTGGGGATTTGAAGTCCTGGTGCTTGCAGAGGGCAAAGAGGAAACGCCGAACCACCAAACCGCTCCAAAACCACCCGGGCTGAGTTTCCGTCAGCCGATCGCCGGGTTTTGGATGCGGTAGGACCCCCTTCATGCAGCGCTTGTCGGACCGCCTGCGGCGATGGGCCCAGGAACAGGCGCGTCCGGGCGGGAGGACGGTGAGAAGATCACGCGGCTTATCAAAATTGGGGATCGGAACCCATGGGCCTTTGGGTTTCCCTCAAGCAACCCAAAAGCGGTACCACTAGAAAAAAAAAAAAAAAAACTCCCCCATGTGGCAACATAAGGGTTTTGGAGGGGTAAGATACTGCTATGCTATCCATCAAGTAAATAGGGCGGTTATGGGCGTTTCTTTTTTTTTTGAGGGGACCGGACCCCGCAAGATTTTTTTTGTTTTCCTTTGGCTTCCCTTTAAACCACCCAAACAGGGTAGCCTCGAAATATGCCCCCCCCACTAAGATCTTCATAAGTTGGCAAAGTGTGTATGGTAAACTGAGGTCAGCCAGAGGCGTTGCGATGCAACTTTAAATGCCGCCTGTGGGTTTGCTGTGACCCCTGTAATATGAGACCGGTTCCTTGCGGATTTTCTTCTTTGGCAGTTGTGCTAGGGCGTGAACCATTTCCCTGTTTGGAACCTCTAAAAGGCGATCGTTTCAATGGGCACCACTTGAAAATAGATCAACTTTCCAGATTTTGGGAAATCCAGGTTCGACCCGTCCGTGAGGCCGCAAATCCAGATCTGCAGGGGGTGACCATTGTCATCTCCTGTGACCGCGATCCAGGCGGCGGAAGCACCCGTTCGTTGGTGCCCTTGCTGGCCCATTTTGTTGGTCCCCTAGAAGCCATGCGATGTACTAGCTGTTTTTCAGGGATGAGCAAGCGAGCTTTTGAGGATGGCAATGTTGCCACCAAAACAAGCAAATGGGTGTGCGTCAAAATTCAGGCACCCTCCTAAAGTTGTGGCTTTCCTTTTGGTTTAGACCAACCTGCAAAGGGAACCCGCAAAAGGACACAAACCATCGCCTTGAAAGCGACATGCGGTAGACATGGGGACAGGAATCAACCACTTTGGTATCACAGCCAGGGCGCCATTTGCTGCTCCAAGTCTTGTGTGGCATGCGCTCTGTTTCTTCTTCTTCTTATATTCTAGCGCATGTGTTGGGCTTGTCGTTTTGGGTTTTTCGGTGGCTTGCGCTCATGTTTTCTTATGTTTCGACTGAGCGAAGGCGAGGGCGAGCACAAGATCATGGAGGTGATCCGGAACCACCCGGAGCACACGCACTGCCTCTGCAGCAACGACGCAGATGCTTGCCTCGTGTTTTAGTTCTTTCCGCCTATTTTTTTGGCGGCAAATGTACTTTCTGCATGTGACGTGAGAAACCCAAAGGTGTCGTTGGTAGTTTTTTCTCTTTCTTTTCGCTTGGCAAAGCCTGTTTTGCCTCCTGACTTGCAGGCACTGCGCCACTTTCCATGACCTTCAAGAAGCAAGACAGCTTAGCCGCAGCGTGCAGGCCCTCTTGAAAACGGTTTGGATGCGTTTTCCGGTAGATTTTCGCCTGGCCTTCCCCGTGTTTGGTTCTCCCCTTTTGGACTCTGTTGGTACCTTTCTAGGTGAGGGTCTCCGTCCAAACACTGGATGTGAGCTACCACACGCAAACATTAACCGGTTTCCAGTTGGGTTGTCTTGCACCCACCCAAAGTGGAGTCCCCATTTTGAGAAGTTGTGGAGAGGGACAGCCGAAATCCATTTTGGGAGTCCAACTCCCCTTTGACACACATACCTTTGAGCACCAAGGACTTGGTGTTCCTAGGCCTGGTCTGCAGATCTGAGCATGTGTACCTGCTGCGCACCAAGCCCAACTACGAGAAGCGGGTGCGGCCCGAGCCGCAGGATCACGGGGCAAGGGCGGGGCTCCGAAGAGGTTTTCACAATGGTGGACCCCCTTTTGGTTTGAAAGGCATCTTTTGGGAAACCAAAAGGAAACCACACATTGTGTCCGAACCCCTATTTTGACTAAAAATGCTCAGATATGGTCGACGGTCGGTCCTTCAAAACCAACCAACCAAAACGGGGCGCCACGCATGGGTTTTTCTGGGGAGGTGGGGTGCTGTGGGAAGGAGTGAGATACACTGCCCCCAAAAAGAGATTCCGTTTCTTCGGAAACACGGTTTTGATCTTGCAAGGGTGACAAGTAACATGGCTTCTGGTTTTGACCCATGCGCACGATTGCGATTTTTGCAGCCCCCCAAAGAAACCTGCCTTGTGTGTTTAGCAGAAGGACCAATCAAATTGTGTGTCTCTTTTCGAGGGTACCCATTTTTTTTGCTGTTTTAACGGAAACCAAAAAGGAACACCATTTGGGGTCCAACTTTAAGCAAGAGACACCCTTAAATGGGCGAACTTCCCCTCCGGCGGCCTTCGGTGAGGACTCTGGGCCAGAGGTGCTTGACGGGAGTGCGCAGCCAGCAGTGGAGGAGCGCAGAAGACATGTATATTATAAATCTGTGTTTCTTGGGGGGTTGGGAGAGGTGGGGGCTTGTATTTTTGTTTTGGCTGGGCTGCTTGTTTCTGGGGTTTTGCGGACACTTTCCTAGTGGGCTCGGATGTTTCTGGTGACCTTTTTCCAGTTAGAAGGGTTCTGCAATGGACAGCCCTTCCCAAGATTTGGCATTCGATGATTGCCCTCGGGCTGGCAGCATGGGACTTTCACAACATCGCATGTGCGCTTCGGGCTTTCAGCCCGAAGGCTGGGACGTGAAGTTCTGAAGTGCACAGGACTACGAGATGTTGAGCATCGTAGCCCTGCGTGCGTGGCTGTGCAGCCAGTTTCCGGATTGTGCCCAGCTCCAGCCTCAGTGTCGGTTCGGGAGGGATTCAGCACCAGGAAAGCAAAAAAGATGAGCAACATGGGGGACTTGTGCCATCTACTTTCACCCAACGGTACATTGATTTTCCGTTTACCGGCTGCGGAGTTGCATGTGTGCTCCTGCCGATTTGGAAAGCTTGGAGTCTTCGGAATGGACCATTGAGTGTTGCGGTAAAATCCTGAGAGCTTGCCTGGTTGCCCACCTATCTGGAAATCCACGGAGCCTCCAGGGCTCAGTTTGGTTGGGTTCCGTTGGCCCCGTACCAGGGGAGTAGCCAAGACCCCGAGTGAGGCAGCGACTGCTGGCGGACTTTGTGGCGATGTGCTGCTTGGTGGGGAATGACTTTCTGCGACTCGCCTGCAGTTCCGTGAGCGCCCAAAGCCCAATTCTGATTCCCATTGGCCGGTTTAGGTGGTTCTACCTGGTTGAGTTGGGGTTCATCGTAAAGCCTGGACAAACCTTTGCAACCAGTTCAACGAAGGCACAACACGTTGCGGCAAAGCAGCAAAAAACAACAACAACCAAAGGCACGTGGCAAGTGGATTGGTCTGTTTGCTGTTCACTGCGACGAGCACGAGTCCGCCCTGTGGTCCACCATGCGCGGGTTCCCTACGTTTGTGACCCTACACAACCAGATCGGCTTCCCCCAAAAGATCCAGGACCGCAATACCACATGACTGCCCGAAGCTTGATGAGGACGCCCCGGCAGGATTCCTTAGGTTGATGTATTTTAGTACATAATGGTGTTTGACTGTTCCAATGGCAACCCCAAGCAACCACAGAAAGACTTGCAAAGTCATGAAGGATGTTGGTAACACACCGCAAGACCGGGTTTGATTTATTGCAAATCAACGGACCGGGTTCCTCAAAGGATACGTCCAAAAAACGCCTGACAAGGATTCGGATCCTTTTTGAAGCAGCTGGCAAAGTGTAACGTTTTCACTTGGTTAAAAGGGAACCCAAAGGAGAACCCGATCGATTTGGGGTCCTCCATTTTGACACACACACACACACACGAATGTATCCTACTTGGGTGCTCGGCTAACTTAGTAAGCGGTTGGTAACCTGGAATAGGAATACAACCTACTCATAGGTTCGCCCAAGTGGAGTCAACCCTCTCATTCGTGGGAGAAACAAAAAAACACCAGGTGGCGTTCCACAAAACCTCACTTGGCAAATCGAAGATCCAGAGACTTCGATCGATGAGGCCGCACATGGCGGCCCTGGATATCTACGACGGGGGGCTGGACAAGCTGCTGGCGGCGTATTGGCACCTGCAGCCCGCGCAAGAGGGGCGCCTCGGTGCAAAGGTTCGGGTGGTGCAAGCTGTTTGGGGTTTGGGGACTTTCTCTCTCCCTCTCTCTAAATGTCCCGCACAAACCAGGCTCAGGGAGCTCTCTAAATTGTCCAGAGTAGGTATTTAGTCAATTTCGACTGCATCATGCTTTTTTTTTAAAGAAGATATATATATATATATATATTCTTCTTTTATTTATTATCTTTCTTGTTCTCGTGTTTATTGTTGTCTTGTCCTTGTCCTTCTTCTTGTTATTGCGTGGTCGCGGTCCTTCTCGTACTTCCTCGTACACATTGTCGTTGTCATGTTGCTTCTGTTGCCGCAGCGTGACACCTTTTGCTTTGGCTGCTTAGTATGGCCTTAGCAAGCTTGGGATTACTGGGGAAGAGCCGCTTAAAATGCCTTCCCACTTGCCCAGCGCCCTTTTGTTCCCATGGCCACTGGGCATCTGAGCCTTCCATTGGATTGTCCTGGCCCCCGGCCACTGGACATTTGGGTTTGCAAAGGAATCGGATTCCTCGGGTGGCTAAGGTACCTCACCACGGAAGACTTCAGCTTGAACTTGCCGCGCTGGCGGGGACTGCTGGAGCAAGTGGCGCAGGAGGGCGCTGGTTCGGCCGAAACCCCACCGCCACTTGTCGTGTCTCTGTTCAGAAGGAATTTGGACGTGTGTATATTACATCTCTCTCTCTCTCTCTCTACAAGTAAATATATATATATATATATATATGTGTCTGCACACACACATTATTGTTATTATCATCACCCTCATCATAACCATTAGTTTATGTCATCATCATCATCATCATCATCATCACCACCATCACCATCATCCATCACCATCATCATCATCATCACAATCACCATCACCATCACCATCATCATCATCATCATCATCATCATCATCATCATCATCATCATCATCATCATCATCATCCTCACCATCATCCTCACCATCACCATCACCATCATCATCACCATCATCATCACCATCATCATCACCATGATCATCATCATCATCACCATCATCATCATCACCATCATCATCATCATCATCACCATCACCATCACCATCGCCATCATCATCACCATCACCATCACCATCACCATCATCATCATCATCATCACCATCACCATCACCATCATCATCATCATCATCATCATCATCATCATCATCACCATCACCATCACCATCACCATCATCATCGCCATCACCATCATCATCATCATCACCATCACCATCACCATCATCATCACCATCACCATCACCATCATCATCACCATCATCATCACCATCATCATCACCATCATCATCACCATGATCATTATTATGATCACCATCATCATCATCATCACCACCATCATCATCACCATCACCATCACCATCATCATCACCATCACCATCACCAACATCATCACCATCATCATCACCATCATCATCATCATCACCATGATCATCATCATCATCACCATCATCATCATCACCATCATCATCATCATCATCATCACCATGATCATCATCATCATCGCCATCATCATCATCATCATCACCATCACCATCACCATCGCCATCATCATCATCATCATCATCATCATCATCATCATCATCATCATCATCATCATCATCACTTGGGTCACTTTGTTTTGTGTTGAGTTGGACTTAACCATACCAATGGGCCAAAAGAAAAAGCTATGGCAAACCGATTGAAAGTGGGCTTCCTTTCCGTGAGTCACCGAGTTACCTGCGATCAGTTTGAGCAGAGACTCCCACAGAGACCATGTTAACAGCGCTGGCCTTCAGAGCCTTCCTGAAGCGCCCTTGGAAGTGTGGCCAAAATGGCTTGCCCTGGGTTTATGGAAAAGGGTCGTGACCAAAACCTGCGGTGTGCCCCAGCGGTTTCATTTTGGCACGCAAGTTCACATCCATGTTGGTCGGTTTCCAAGGTCTTTTTTGGGAATTGGCTGCACGTCCCATTGGTAGTGGACACTTTATTTTAATGTTCTTTTTCCCAGCTGAAAGCTATGCCCAAAACATTTGTGGGAGGGTTCGCAGCATGTGGCCCTGTTTTGGTATTCAAAGGGAAACAATGTAGGGACACTTGCCATTTCGGGAAATAGACACCCTATTTGGAGAAACACCCACCTACCGTAGCACTATTGGTTCCTCCTTGAAGGATCACCATCTCTTTTCGGAGAAGCATAGACTATTTGGAGAAGTATCAACTATCAGGTAAGCCTTAGTTGGCGGTTTAGATGAGTGGCTTGGGGGATTCGAACCTCTTTGTAGAAAATCCAAAACTGACCCCCCAAACATCCAAACTACGAATCCCAGCTAGAAGGAAGCTGAAGCAATTTGGGTGTGTCATTTCTTAGTTCTTCGGACCCCCGAACGTCGCGTTGACCGGGAATCCTTGTGGTTTCCCTTTCGACCCCCCAAAAAACTGAGGGGGAGGGAGGGGTACGAAAAAACTCCTCAAAGATCGAGGTGGGCCGCATGTTTTTTCGGAGGACGAGTGCGAGCTGCTGCTGGAGCTGGTGGGCCTGGGCTTGGGCCCCAAGCAGTTGGCCTACCGCGGGCCTGGGCCGCCGCCCGGCGACTGGGACGGCCTGTCGCTGGTGGTTTGGAACGTGCCCCGCAAGGCCGCGGTGTGTGTGTGTGTGTCTGTGTGTGTGTGTGTTGGAAGGCAAGGGGGCGCCGGGGCTCGGGGGGGGCATTCGTTTGTTCTTTGCAGTTTGGAGTGGTTTGGATTGGTTTGGATTTGGTTTGGATTGGTTTGGATTTGGAGTTGCGACCCTGGGTGTTGTAGGGGGTAAAGTACCACCCCAGAACACCACCAAACCATCCAATCCAAACCCTCAGCAATGGATGGAAAAGAAGCCAACCCACTGAAAAGTGGTCAAATATAAAGTTTATGTTTAGAGGTGTTGGCAGAACCTGCCGCAAGGCGTCCGAGGCGCAGGTGACAGCGCCTCGGCATGGGAGAAGGGAGGAACAAAGCTTGTGTGTTTGTGTGTGTGTGTGTGCGCGCACGCACATTGTTTGCTTGTTTTTGATGTTTGTGTTGTTTTCCTTTCTTTGGCTGCGGTTGTTTTTCATTGAAACAACTGGCTGGGTCTGCGATTTGTATTGGGAGAAGCAGGGGTTCAAGCATGATTCTGCAAGAAGCCCAGACCAGAGTCTGGGGGTGGCTGGGTTGGGTTTCTTGGTGAGGTTGGCATCTGCCTGCATGGAAGGGGTTGTCCTTGTTTTTGTTAAAGCAGTCACAACAGACTTCAAACTCCAACGGATTGCTGCTGGGGTGATCGAGTTTCAATTTGCCTCAAACGGAGCAGTCACAACAGCACGCAGCATTGCAAGAACCTGACACCGACCATCGGGGAGAGTGAGAACCAGTCGACTCAGCTCAATCCGAAAAGTGAGTGAGCTCTACACAAAAACAATCCGGATTCCCACATCCCCGCTGCTGCTACATCAATCGAAGGCACCTGTAGACCCCCTCCCCTGGAAAAGGCCACGTTCGGGTTTGCAACATGTGTTCGGCGTATGGCCAGAAGGCACATTTCAGGTTGAGTCCAAAGAAGTCCCCAAAAATTACTGGCTCCGTGCTAGGTTTGTTGCAGGGTTCCATGTGTTACCCTTTGTGGGAAACCCAAATATGGTTGTGCGTCAAAAAATCCTGTTGCCAAGGGAGCCAGGGCCCCTCAATAGGGGCTAATAGCGACTAGACTAGTATCAATCGGGATTTGGACCCCCAGAATTGTGTTTTTGTCTTTTGGCTTCCATTTCAAGCCACCCCAAAAAAAAGGGTACCCTCAGAAAAGTACGCGCACCCGTTCGGCCTCGAGCCCCTGCCTGAGGCTGCCATGTCGAAGCAGGGCTGCGCCGTGCGAAGCGTCCACCGCCTGAAGCAGCAGTACAAAGGCCAGCCGCAAGTCGGGTTGCTTGCGGTTGGCTGTGACTGTTGAAGTTGGGAACCACTTGGAAAAGTGGTTGGTGGACATTGCTCTTACTAGTAGGGAACCACTTAGAAAAGTGGTGAACATAAATCCCCCAAATGATGTGCACTGAACATTTCGCAGGGATTGCGACCCCAATATAGGGCCTTCTTTTTTTCAGGCCCCTTTTGCCCTTCGGTTCTTGGGTGACAAAGGTCAGGGGGAATCCCTGGAGATGCCCTCTGTCCGAGCGTGGAAGTGGACATTCCCCCGGCGCGTGGCATCCTTGTGGGGGCCGGTTTCGATCCGGTCGGGGCCGGTTTCGATCCGGCAATCGCATGACGAGCAGTCGATATTCTGGTCATCCACCAAGTTGCCGTTAGATGGGAATTGATCACCAAGTTTCGATGTGAGCTGACACAATTCGCATTGAGTGGCTCATAGTGTTGACCTGGGACAAATGCGCTCCAGGCGGATGATGGGAGGGGGGTGGGGTGTTCCTCCAAAAGCTCTCAAAGGAGTGCTCTGAACATATATGGCCAACTATAGGTGTGGCTTCTTTCCATTTGGGGTATTCAAGCTGGCCCTTGGAGAAAAGTTAACACCCAGAACTGCTGCAGGCTCCTCCTGGTTGGTGATCTTCGCGGACGCGAAGTCCGCGGCCGGAGCCACAGAAACGCGGGCGCGTGGCCTTTGGCCGCAAGAAACGGGAATTTGGGAATCGATGGGCCACCGTGGATTTCCTGAATACAGCAAGGGAACGAGAAACACACGGAAATTCATTCACAGTGGGTTTTGGTTGAATTACTGGCAGCAATTCGGGAATCGTGTCTGAAGTGGAAGCAAAGACCAGAAGAGAAGGTATGAATGGCTCCAAGGTTTCGAGCAGGTCAGAGGTTTGTTAGAACCCCCAAAGGAATTGATTCACCGCCCGCAACTGGGGTGACGACCAAGGCAACTCACAGGGGAAAACGCTCTCTTGAGTCTGCGTTCCAAGTGATTTTGTTCACAGTACGTCTAAGGGTTCAATCCCCGGATTGCATTCTCTGAAGACAAGGATCCCTGGAAAGCAGGGGGTAGCTAGAGTGCTTGCCGCTCCGCCCTCATACTCGGCACAGGTTTCTGGGGGAGTTAGACATGATCACTCTACCCCCGATTCAATTGGTCTTAGTTAAATTCCTTCGGAGGGACAGAGGATATCTAAATACTAAATGTAGGGAACAGCAGGGGTATGTTGGATGTTCTTGGTTCACTTGCTTCACACGCATAGGTGTTCTTTCAACTTGGATGACGTAGATGGTTTGGGTTTCCGATGGTTTCCGATTGCATGTGCCGGAATCCATCAGTCCAAAAGGGTGCGATTCAGCTCCGAGGTGGAGACACTGGTGGCGACTCGACGGGTGGAGACGCAGAAAGTTCAGGCGGGAAGCCATTGTCTGGTAGCTACGTATGGGTGGCTCGTCTTTTTCTGAGGGGCCCCCACAAATTGTGGCTTCCTGTTCATTTCTCGTTAAAACCAGAAGAAAGGGGTACCAACTCCAAAAAACAGAGACACCAACATGACCCCGAATTGATGAACTTGGCCAGATTGAAAGGGCGCAACCCCCAGTGAAACCAACCAAACACTTATGAATAAGTTGCCGTGTGGCTCAGTTGGGTGTGCCTTGAGCTTGTCACGTGCCGCAGGATAATCAACAAAGTTACAATGAAAAAAAAAAACAGGTTACTCAAGAAAATCCAATGTCAGTTTGGGACACAACCACTATTGACCGTAGCCTTTGCGAGATCCTCAAGCCAACCCGCTTGAAACCTGTCCAGTCTCACTGGATGAAATTCACCCTTTCGGAGTTACTTTCCTAGGGTTGAACAGCAAACGCGAACCGGCCGAGCATGAGGTAGGTCTTTCTTTTCGTGTCTGGCTGAGACATGGCCCTTGAGTTCCCGAGAAATGCACACTCAAGCTCAGCTCTTTTTGAAATATACGAGGCGCGGCGGTCGCATATTTCAAAGTCAGAACAACAGACACACGAAAGAATCGAACTTGCCAGGGGATGTTTGTTCCGGATGCAAAGTAGTGTGCCACCGGATCTCAGCCACCCGTTGTTTTGGGATCGATTTCGTTTGCGGGGTCTCTGATTCGCAGATTCCTGTGCCAATCTTGCCATCATCTTTTGCCGTTGCAGAGTTTCGGGGCTGATTTGGGAATATCGATGGTGTCGTGCAGTTTCCTTTTCAAGCGCTTCCAAAGGCACATGTGGCCGGCGTGGCTTTTTTCTTTAATGCTTGGTGCAGATTTACACAACCCGTTCTTGCCAGTCTAGCGTTGCTTTCCCACCCGCCATTCGTTCGGCTGGTGTTTAAAGGGAAACTAAGCAGTGTTGGCGGTTCCCCTATCTGAGGACCTACCCATTTAGCTGTGGCATTTTTGATGGTTGGAGCATCCTTTGGGGACATGCACCAAACGCTATGTCCGATTCAAATTCATTTTAAGAGGCAACCAAAGTGTTTTTGGTTTATTCTGGAGAGGTTTCTAAAGAGGTGTTACCGCTTACACAAGCTCCTTAGAACGGAAGTCGGGTCCTGTTTTTGAGGGAATCAATCCACTCGCTTCTTCTCCTTTTGTTCCCAGGACTTCTGCATAAGGGTCACTTTGGGCCGTGGCTCAGATGTCTTGGGTCAAGCCCGAGACTCTCGAGCTGGAAGATGAGGCCGTTGCCTTCGAGGCCGGCCAAAAGCTCGCCGAATCGAGGGAAGCTAAGCCGAACAGGGGTCCTTTGCTCTAGGAAGGTTGCTCTAAAAAGGGCGGGCCGCATGGTTTTCCAGTGTACGGTTCTGACTTCTGGGATCAAAAGTAGATGGGTTCTAGGTGTTTCAGTTGTTTTCTTTTTTTTAGTCAGTGGAATCCATCTATTGTTCCAGCAGGACGCCTAGGAAGCAGGCTAATGTCATGTGTGACAGAATCACTCACATTCTGCCGCCATGATCATGACTGAATTTGGGTCTGAAGTCCCCCCGCAACCCCGTTCTAATTCTCTCGTCTTTGTAATGTTGATCCCGGATTAATAAACCCCTGCTTATTAATATGGGGCGTCCCTGGTTTAGTAGGGGTTCATCACTTGTGGAGGGGACCACCTCCCATATTGTCAAACAGGCGCTTGTTAATCCGGCGTCAACATTAGTCCAGTACCTTCCAGGCAATGTCAAGCTATTTGCTTTAGTGGGATCAGGGCGCCCGCCTGATTGGGAAATGCTTGGTTGCCCCCAACATTGTAGGCTTCCTCTTGGTAAAACACAACCATCCATTTTGCGCAGGTAAATGGATGAGCCAATGAGCGTTTCCAAGAAGCATGAAATCGGGTTCCCTTCTGGAAAGCGCATGCATCATGTTTGGGGAAGAGCTGTTTTGGACCAAGATAAGTACGAGGAGAGGTACGCGGACAGGAGGGCTTGCCCGCATCGAACTTGGACAATTGGAGGTTTGGGGGGCAATTCCATAGAGACTTCGGAGACGATTCCATAGAGACTTTGATAAAGTAGTGTTGGTGATGGCGCGGTAGTCATTTCCACATCAACACTTGAAACGGCTCAAGGCACGATACGCTCTCTGCGTCCTCCTGTTTTAGGTAGATTTAAACCCAGGGGTCGATTGTGGAAAAGGGATCAGAAGTCCCAATACGTTCGATGGAAACAGAAAGTTCGTTTGGAACCCAGGATTGATGAATAGTTAGTTGGATTTGTCCCTAAATTTCAGAGGGCAACGCCCCCGAACAGAAGCTGTCCTTGACAATCCGTGGTCACTAGCTAAAGGTCCGGGGGCATAATTTCATGATATTTCATGTCTCACCTAAGCCCATGAGCCCCCAGTTATTTGATCCCCAGTTGGAGTTGTGATTCCCTGTCTAAATTACATCCCCAGGAAACAAAGGCCCCGGGGATGTATAATGTTGACCCCAGATCAACAAACCCTTTACAGGAATAATCCTTCCCAAAGTGAAAACCAAAAGGGGACACCCCTCCAAGGGTTCTACTTAGATCCGGGGTTCTCATCAAATGGAACTTGGGAGGCAGCCGACTGGAAGCCGGTGCTGCACCAAGCCGTGCGCGAGAGCTTCGAATTCTGGCCACGTCCCGAGCAGCGGAGGGATTGTTGGCTTTTTGCCAGGGTTCCCCAAAAATATGACCACATTGGGATTTGGACCCCCAAAAAAAGAACAAGCAAAGAAAGAAAGAAAAAGGTTGTGGTTTTCCTTTTGGCTTCCCTTCAAAACTTTCTCACAAAGGGTACACTCAACAAAACATCCACACCTAGGGGGAATGGCGTGCTTGGACGTGCTATCCCCTTTAACAAAACACATCGGGGGGGGGGGCCTTCTCCCCCATGTTCCTTAAGAGCCGGGCCCACTCAAACATGCTTTTATGGGAAATCACCATGTCCTGTGCACCCGAACGGCACCGGAAGGACGGCTACTGGGAAGCCCGGATTGAAGAACCCGAATTTGCTAATAGGGGGTCCCTGCTTTAGTGGGGATCCATGATTGGATGGGTACACCATATCAGCTGAATTTTCGGATGGTGAAACCCGAGGCTGGGCCCCGAGAACCTGCCCAAGGACACGTACCTGCGTCGCCACGTGCGCCAGCGGCGGGACGCCTGGCGCATGTCAGACCTGGGACCCAAACGCGTCCATGGCCCAAGTGATTTTGGAATGTCTTTTGGCACCCCACTTGAGAGAAATTCCATGAACCTTGGCCCAGAAGGTGAGCTTTCTACCCAGTTGCTGCTCCGGAAGCTGCCCCTCACCCGGAACGGGTAGAGATACGCTGACTTGGTCGAAGACCGTCTTCGCATCCCAGGACCGCTTTGTACCGCTCCGGGTCTTCGCGATGTTCCGGCGCTTGAGGGCCTGGGTGCAAAACTTGGAGCAGTTGGCCGAGGCAACGTTCCGTTGCCCGCCGTTTTGCCCGGTGACGCCTCTGAAGACCTACCAAAATGGGAGGTGGGTATGCGTCAAGGGGGGAACTTCCCCAAAATTGTGGTTTTACCTTTCGGTTGCCATCTAGACCAAAACGAAAAGGGTAAGCACACTCAGGTGGGGTCCCTAAATATACCACAAACCTTTGGTGGATTGCGCTAAAATTGCTGCTGGAGGTACCAAGAGGGGGTGGGGTTCATGAGTGTCAAGAGCAAGAAGACCCTCTAGACAAAGAGGTGGATAGTTGGACACCAAACAATTTTGTTGCCGAAGCAGGATTTGTTTGGCATGTGGTTGGCTTACTTGGGATGTTCCGGGGATCGACAGTACCAACAAAGCTTTCCTTTTGGATTTCATGCCGCTAAATTTGTCTTGAACTTGACACACACACTTTCTTTGACTGATGCGGGGTCAAGTGCAGTTGAAGGGATACGGGAAAGTCCCTCGAACTAAAAACTGGAACCAACCAGACATGATACATAAGCTTGTTTTTCCTGTTTCCTACTTGCAATATTCGAAATCTCATTGTGGCTCCAGGTTCCTTAGAAGAGACGATATGTCATTTACAAACTTTTGGTTAGCCTCCTGCCCCGGGGTGGCCGGCTATAACCAGACTTGTTTCCTTCGTACCCTTTCCAACTACTGTACAACCAAGAGGAAACCTCAAGTGCCATTGGTTTTGTTACTTACATCGGAAAACTACCAGGACACGCAGGTTTGCTCGGGAAAGCTTAGGGACCCCCAACACAGGGACTTCTTCATGGGAGAGCTTTGCACTCACATGTTGCTCTTATTTACCAGGGTCATTGCACCTGGCAAAGTTCTCTCATAAAGGAGTCCCTCATTCTCCCATCATATACTTCAGTAGGTTGGCACTCTCAGTTTGAAGGCAACATACAGATACAGTAATGCCAGTACGTTATACATATATGCATATGTTTGATATGTACATGTGGTTAGCAAATGAACCCCCCAGGAACAAGCAACACATTGCCCCAGATGAGCTCCCCTTTTTTTTTGAGCCCCAAAGCACAACCTGAGCTGCCTGCGCCTGGCTCGCCCTCGCGGGCTTCCGGCAGGTGCTGCGCGGCTCCACGGAGCTGGAGCTCTCGGGGGAGGGCCGGGCCGCCATGGTGCGGCGCCGCGAGGATTTCTCGAGGCGGCCCGAGGAGACCGAGGACCAGGCGCGGCGGTAGGGACTGGGGAGATCTTTTTTTTTTTTTTTTTTTTTCCGGGGGCCGAGGTACACCACGGATAACTATTTTTTGGGGAAATCAGGGTTGGTTTTGGAACAAGTTTGGATATGTTTTTTTGGGGAATCAGGGTTGGTTCCTTGTAGAGAGTTCTTGAGATCTTCCATTGGCATCACAGAAGTGGAAAGGCAATGGGAGAGCCGGAAGCTCCCGAGTTTGGGGGATCACCCCAAAAAGGGGTTGTCTTTTACTTGCCTCTCAACGGGTTTGCAGCGTGAGTGTTGGCTTTTGTTTCGTTTCAATGCCCTTGTTGGGCTTTGTTGGCATGTTTTGGGTGTTGAACCTATACTAAGCCATCAGAGCCATGTTTTCCATAGCACAAACCACGTATTTGAGTAGGAGGTTGCAGTCACTACGTGGAGAGAAGAGCTTTATGAACCTGCGTCCCCTCCCACCAACTCGGAACCGAGGCTTTTGAGGCAGGTTCTATGGGAGGCTCAGTCGACTGGGGCCTGTTGGCTTGGAAGGCTGCGGCTCAAAGATAAGCACTGGGTCAAACGGCAGTTTTTTTTCCCCAGATAAACCAGGTGCCATTTTGGGTACCATGCTTCGAGTCACAGAGAAGCAGGGCTTGGGGCCATTGAAATCCCGTCCTCCGAATTCGCCTGGTTGGGTTCTTCCCCCCCCCGACGTTTTGTTTGAACTCCTCAAATGGCTGTGGGTCAAAACCAACAGTACCGTTTTGGGGTAGGTGCACCACCCATTTTAGAACCTATTTTGGTGGGGATTGAATCGGATGTTCACTGGGGGTACGATTTGGCTTTTGATTTTGACCCATGGCCAACTCTTCCTCTTACGCGGCGTCGCAGGTGGAGCGGCAGCTCAGGTGCCTGGAGTTGCTGGCGGAGGGCAGGAGTGTGACTCGGAATCGAATCGAGTGAATCGGTCCCCATAGGGCTGGGTATGGGTGGATATGGTTGGCTCCATAGATATGGGGTGTCTTCTTTTGATGGCGCTTTTTTTGTTGTTGTGTGTGTGTGTGTGTGGTTTAAAGGGAATCCAGAAGGAACACCACCTTTTTGAGCGGGGGGTCCCCGGAAAATGACGGTAGGGTTGATTCCAGCAACATGGCGCATTGCCAAATGAAGCAGCCACATCCAACCACAGCACCCTGCTTGATTGGGTTCCCAGCGCATGTCACCCACAAAACGTAGCTTGCTTCATTTCAAAGGAAGATACCCCGCAAAACACCTTGATGCCTTTCTCGCCGAACACGCAGGTCAGATATGGATTGAGACCTGGGGCACCAATACAGCGTACATTGGCGGGCTTGCAACAGATTTCAGATGAAACTGTTGCATCCATATTCCAACATTGGTTTAGAGCCAAATCAAGGGAGGTTAAGCCTAAAGATAGCAGCTTAGGATGCAGGATTGCTTCGGAGCTCGATAGCAACCCTGTTGCGGGGTACAATGAAACCAAATTGCCCCATGATCATGGGAGAATCAGGTTTTGTACTTCTGTTGCCCCGCAAATTACCTCCCCCCACTCCCCACCCACCCCACTGCCCACCCCCACTCCCCAGCCCACGGATTTGGACCAGGTGGAGGCTGTGCAGATGCTGCAAGTGGAGTACACCCGCCGCTCTTCCGGCCCCGTGGCGGCGAATTCCCCAGATCCGGAGGATGCCGCCGCGGTGCAGCCGGGAGTCCCGAGAGCCCCAGCCTGGTGCCGCGAAAAGTTGAATGGGATGCTGGGAATTTCAAGAGCTGGAACCCCATCCAAGTGCCTGGTGGACATGCATCAATAAGTCCCCACCCACTTTTTGATGTCCAAACGATGTTCCCATTCAGCTTCAAGCCCATTTGTTGGTAAGAATGGAGGCTCCCCTGTTTTCCACGGCTGGCCTTGGGAACAATGTCGACTCCTTCAGTTTTTGGAGTCGCGGCTCTTGTGTATTTAAGGTACTCCCCCCAAAAAAAACATGATAATAAGCTCAGGCGATATCCCCAACAGCACCACGCCCTCCCAAGATCCTCGCAGAACGCCTCACCGCCGGTGTTGCTGAGGATGCCGCCTTGTAACTTTATAAAGCAAAGCTAAGAGTGACAATCGCGCCCTGATCGGGGCCCGACGGCGCAACCGGGGCCCGACGGTGCAATCGGGGCCCGATGGGGGCCCGATGGTCCCGTGGTGCAACCCCAGCCACCCATATGATAGCTCAACGCCGGCTTTCCTTGGGATGCGGCCTTACAACTGTATCTAGCAAAACTAGGCGATGCCAGCTTGGTACAGTTGACGGGGCCCGGGGCGCGATGGCACAATCGGGGCCGATCGGGCCCCGACGGTGCAATCGGGCCCCGACCTGGGCCCGGTGAACCTCGCAAACTCCTCGTGGAACCCTCGTGGAACTCAGCGTGAAACTTTGTTGGAACCTTGCCTCAGGGCTGCCCCAACCTCGTGGAGCGTTTTTGGAACCTTACCCCTCGCAGCATCGTGGAATTTTTGAACCTAAAGCCCACCAAGTAATACTCAGCAATGCCAAGCATGTACTCTGCTGCGCCATCAGTCCCGCAGCAACGTGATCTGATTTGCCACAAAGCCAACATGCCCGGCCGCGTTGCCTGAGCAAGTGAGCAGGTGACAAAACAATGAAAGTGTGCTGAAATGAAAACCATTGATTTCGGTTTTGCTTAGTGTTCCGCCCATGAGCAAAGCGATCTTCTGAGCCCTCAATTTACTGCTCCGATGGCTTTTCAGACGGGAGGAGGTTCCACGAACCAGGGTTCCACCAGCTTGAGGAAGGTTCCATGACGGTTTCATCAGGGTTCCGCCATGCCAGGTTGTGCAAGGGCTGGGCGGGCTTCCACCAATTTCTTCGAGGGCTGTCCGGCAGCCTTGCAGAACATTTCAATCCTTGTGAAACCTTGCGGAGCCTTGTGGAACCCTTGTGGGATGCTTGTGGAATCCTTGCGGATTTTTTTTGTGAAACCTCAGGGCCCCGGACCATCCCACAGCCCTCGCAGAACCTCTTGGAAACCTGAAACCCTCGTGGAGCCTTACCTCAAACCACCCCGGACAACCCGGTGGAACCCTGCTGGCTCAACCACGGGAACTCTGGTGGAAACTTGGTGGAACGCTGGTGGAACCCTGGTGGAACCTGGACGGTGGATCTTACCTCCCGCAGCCCTTGCAGAAGCTGGTGGAGCCCTGGTCAAACTCTGGTGGAACCCTGGTGGAATCTGGTGGAACTCTTACCTCAACCACGGACCACCCCGCAGCCCTCGCAGAACCTGGTGGAACCCTGGTGGAACCGTGCTGGAACCCTGGTGGAAACTTACCTCCAACCACCCGGACCACCCCGGAGCCCTGGTGGAACCCTGGTAAAACCTGGTGGAACCCTCGTGCAACCTTACCTCAACCACGGAACCCTGGTGGAACCCTGGTGGAGCCCGCGTAGAACCTTACCTCAAACCACCCCGGACCACCACCCCAGCCCTCGAAGAATTTTGTGGAACTGGTGGAACCCTCATAGAATCCTCGTGGAACCTCACCTTGGGGGCCGCCCCGGACCACCCCGGAGCCTATCTGGGCTGAGAACCCAAAGCTTTCAGCTGTTGGGGGAAAAGAAGAAAAACAACATGGCGCAGGGTCTTCCTTCCGGTTTCCCCTTTCAAAACCACAAGCAAGGGGTACCCTCACAAAAGATACGCTCACATGAATTGGCTGAGCTTATATGAAACATGTTCTGCTCATTGGCTAGTATGACAAATGGCAACAGGTGCTGGTTTTGGCGAGGCTCCTTTTCTCCCTTTTGAGATGACTTCCCTTTTGGTTGCGTGATGGCGTTGCAAGGGCCTTTCCAGGGGGGAACGGGGCTTCTGATTAGCTGGTTTTAGTGGGAGGTTTTGTTTTTGCTCGCTTCCGGACCGCAGAAAGGCGTTTCTTGGTGTTTGTTCACCATCTTTTGCAGCAACAATGAATGCGGATAATTCCCTCAAGTGTTGTAACGCAGTACAATATTGAGGTTCACTTCGTCCCTGGTTATTTCGGCAGTTTCTCGCAGCGACGCGGAGAAATTTTCAGACGTATTATGTTGGGACGTTGATCAGGCTATCAGAGAGCACGCAGTATCTTCACGGTTCTTGGCATGCTTTTGAGGTTTACGTGTTTCTGCTTTCATTTTTAGTGGGAGGCTGCAAAGACTACAGATTCTTACTGAAGACAAGGCATTGGGAGTTGGCATCGTCCAGGGATTTGGGACTGCACGTCTAAATACCATGGAAAATCGCAAGGGATCCTTGGACCCTCTGGATTGGGAAGTTCAAGTCGACATGTGCGAGTTGCCAGAAAAAGCAGTGACCGTGTGCACAAGAGGACACCACGCGACTGTCAATCGACATTCCCATTGAGTCGGCAGTGTTAATCCGCAACGGGAATGCATTTCCAGTCGAGTCTGCCGGTTTCTGGTGGGTTTCCACGTTGGGAGAAAAAGATTTCGACAGCTCCAGATTCGAGCCAAGATGCCAGATTCCGGCTACCCTTAATTTGGGCTTCGGGTTGGTTTGAGGGATTTGAACCCCTGGTTCTCGTAGGGGGTAAATGGGAAACCGCACCCATAACCACCCGCATTATTTTTTTTACAAGAAAATAATTCACACAACCACCTCATCTTTTTTTGGTGAGACAAAGCCTATGGTTTTGCTTTAGGCAGCATCGCAGCGTCGCCTTCCTCACGGGCATTGAGTGGGTGCCGCCCTCAGCGCAGGTCCCCACTTGGTCTTCGACTTGCCCGTTGATTTGACCCATGGTGGAAACCAAAACGTTTGTTGGTATTGTTACAGGGGAATCACATCATAGGGATTCTGAAAGGTGGTGCAAGATTTCGTCCATCCACAGTACGGATTCCGTCCATCATACCCTCCATGAAAGGAATTGTGGAGGTCCCTGGTGACCATTTTCCTCATGGCTTCTGATGGGTATTGAAGTTGAGGCGGTCCCTTTTGCTCGATGAGCCGCCTTTGCGACCACATACGAATGGGTAGACTCCTTAGGTTTTGGCTTTGACTCAGCCGAGCCCACAGTTGCGGTAGGAACTCGTTTGAATCTTCACCCACACGCGCACATGTCCAGGTCAAGGACTCATGAAAGATGCTCAAAGGCACAAGGCATGGAACCGCCAAGCATGCATAAGGCTGAGGTTGGGACATTGTCGGGATCCCCAACGAATACATTCGGGAGGGGGTTGAAACACAATGTTGCCGCTCCACACCTGAAGGTGACCTTGTATTGTCCACGGAACCATCCCCCCACTTAGAGCCTATGTTGCAGGCCGAAAACCTAAAATTGCCGGTTGCAACATACCCACCCGCCACCCTCGCCCAATAGACCCCCCACAACAGGGCGTGGTGATCCCGGCAACTGCAGAACTGGAGCTTTGAAACAGAGCGCCCGACTGAGCGAGGTGGGTTCGACTCAAAATAGGGGAACACCCAAGAAGCAGGGTTTCCTTTTGGTTGCCTTCTACAAAAAACCTGAGAAAGGATAGCCTCAACACAAGACATGCCCAAAGTATACCTTCAAGACACTGCCAGGTATTGAGATACTACGTGCAAGGATGTTCCTCGTGGTCGTGGCCCTCTCCTCAGCGGGAAGGGGGAAACCGATTCGCCAGGAAGGCCTCCAGTGGCATCATGAAACTCAGACAACGTACGAGCGCCCCAAACCCCATTGACCGTTTTCTGGTTCTACTACCTGGTTTCACGAGTTAGTAAGGGCTTTGCAAGCCTTTTTATTCATTTTGGTAGAACCCAAAGTCGATTGGCTTTGATTCACCTGATCGCGCACAGGTTTTTCCCGGCACATTATCCTCCGCTATGTGCAGCTTGGCCGTTAAATGGGGTTCAGAGCAGTATTGGCTTTGGTGGGACTGAAAGACTGCTCTTCCAATGTCATTATTATATGTATTTTTGAAAGCAGCGGGTCCAGCTGTTTTGGCAGATTCCCATAACAAGCCCCCTGCCTTGGTTGGTTTTGAAGGGATACAAGGGAAACAAGGGAGGCCCCAGCCCCAGTTTCGACACAGCTTAGGCCTCTCTTGCCAACGTGCCGTTGCCTCAGAGTGTCGGATTGCTGTCACAGGTGGCTGCTCCCTGTCACGCCGCTACTGTGGAATGCTTGGGGAACGCTATGGTGGATGCCAATCAAATACAGTGCGCGTGAACCAACCGCATCCAATCACAAGACCCTGGCATTTTGCGGTAAAATTAGAGGGTGTCCTAACAACCCAGAATCACATGAGAAGCTTCCATCCTGAATTGGCTGCTTGACATTGATTGTTTGCTTGTTCTTTGGCGCAAAGGCAAGCCTCTTTTAACCAGGGCTGCCAGGCGAGACATTAACCGTTTTGACCGGTCTCCGGTTTTCGGATTGGGCTTCTCGCTGTCCCAAAAAGGCCGCGGGACTCGCGTTCCGTGTGCTGCGAGCCTTGCCCCAGGACAGGGCCCATTGTGAAGCCACCGCTGGACGAGTCGCTTGGTTGTGCAACTGGCAGGACTGGTACTGCACCCTCTTTCCATCAATCAGAGAAGTGGATAGGACTTTCATGATTGTTGGGCTTTCCACATCCTCCCCAACACTAGAAAATGGGCTACCGTTTCAATAGTGGGCAGGTCCGGGGTTGCAACTTGGTCAAACCATGACCTGCTTTGGGAGCCACCTCTTTCCCTGCAGCAACGAGCAAGGGGGTTAAGAGAAAGGAAACAGAGATGGAGATAGACACATAAAACTAAGAACGCATAGTCATAAGAATGACACAGAAAAGTAACTCCATTGTACATACGGCTGAACGACAAATGAAGAAAGCAAACACAACTTTGAAGAAAGGACATCTATCATAGCAAACAGTATTTACAAGCACACAACACAAACGTAACATAGCATAATATCATTCTTGGGATTTTTGTTTGTGGTGAAATCTCTTCTCCCTTCACATGTCCTTTCTCTCAAAGCCCCGATTCTCCCACAAACAGCCGGCCGCAAAGTCAGGCTAGCATCCCCAAAAGAAATCCTGAGGCCTCGGCTTCCGCCAGACCCCTCAGGGAGATTCGGGCTTCCAGCCCCTCGGTTGGTGTCCATTTGGTGTAGTTTCCCTCCGGTCGCCATAGGACATGTCCAACCATCGTAGGGCTGGACCATGCACCTGGAGTAGGTACCCACAGACAACTCCTCATTCAACTATGAGCGTTTTCCATCGGCTTTAGTTTCATTGGGGGGGTGGGGGGGAAATAGACACCCTAAAATTGATGGTTTCTTCTTGGTTTCTGATTAAAGACCAACCAAAAGAGGTCCGAGGTTCCACTTTGAGAAACACTCACATGCGTATGCAATAGCACCTTGGGTAGGTGGACAGACATGCTCCCCTGCAGCAAACCCTGGGCAGCAAGCCCTTACGCCTTGAGTGTTTGGCCGAGTTGGTTAGCCAGCTGGGTGAATTCACCCGCAATGTTGACCCCTCAGGGGGCGTCATAAGGTCATGACCTAGGTGGCTGACCACTTAGTGTGTAGGTCCAAGTTTTGGGCTCGCGACGAGCCCAAACCAACCAGGGGGCATGTAGGCCTGAGCCCTTGCAGAAGGTATATTGATGTAGCCCTTGCAAAGCCCTTACGTACACCTTACAACTCGAAATGCTCGACCCCCCGCCTTAGTCAGAGATTCGGCTTGTCTATGGAACTTCGAAAGTGTCTCCAGCTTGGACCCCGACCGGGTTCTAATAAACGGATTCCGGCTTGCAACAAGAACACTCATGTGCGTAGCATCCAATTGACCCCATTTATGATAGAACCCATTCAACGGCTGTGGATGGAGAATATCCAGCGCAATGTATTCATAGGGTTCATACGCCCTTATTGATGCTTGACCTGGACCTCACAACTACCTTCGCTTTTGCTCTTTTGTGGGTCCTTTGGGCCGATAAAAAGGGGTCCTTTGACCCAAGAAGCAGTACAAGGAGCCCAAAAAGGCCATCATTCCAAGAGGACACTCCTTTGGGAATTGGACCTTGTCTTTTGGGTTCCGTGGGAATTTGCAGGTAGTCTTGCTTGTAGGGAAGGGAAACCCGAACTAAACCATGGATACCCTTACGGTCTATTGCTTGATTCATCAAAACCAAAAAGTCGATTCTTTACTACACCAGCAACTGGGCGCTCAAACTTAGACCTTCACAGTTCTGTGCGGTGACATCCTTTTGTTCTTTTTCCTTACCACCCAGAAAAGTCTGGGAGCCTCCAAAACACCCCCCAAAGTCCCAAGAGAGACACACATCATGTGGAGCCCTTTTTAAAAAGGAAGCCAGAAAGATCCCGCACGCGCCGCCACCAAATCGCCGGCCGGGTGAGGCCCGTGGCTCCGGAGCTGCAGCTCTTGGCGGTGCTGCCCCCGCAGAGCGCCCCGCTGCTGCCGGAGAAGCTGCGGCCGCTGCTGGAGATCCGAGATATCCGCGATCCGCGATCGATCCGCTTCGCTGACTGTGGATGAGTGGATTTTGGGCCCGGTGACGCCGGGCCGAATTTTGAGAACTTTCGCCATACCTCAATTCTGGGGGTTCAGAGTGTGAGAGGTTTGGGTCGTCAGGCTCTCCCAGCTTTCGCTGCGCTTTTAGAGGGGGGCTCGTATCCCATTTGGGTTTGGACAAATCGGCGGGAGGTTTCCAAAATCATTCCACAGGTTTGTGGAATGGCCAAAGCCCAGGCCTCCACTTTTGGTGTCGAGGATGGGAGTGTGTCTATCGAAATATTTTGCCGGGGTTTGGTTTCGGGTTTCGGGTTTCGAATGGACATGTGAAGCTGTTTCGAATGGCACTCGGCCAGGATCCCTCCTCGCCCATTGGGGACTTCTACCCTCAGCAGTTCGAGCAGCGGCACCCAGAGATGGGCTCAGAGATTGAAGAGGTGTCATGTGGCAAGAGGGGTGCTTTGTCAAACCAGGGACAGGCCGCAAAGGAGAAGGTGTGGATTTTGCACCCAACGGCGTTCATCATTACAAGAGGCAGGAAGCGGGCAGGCAACATCAACATCTATGTGCAGTCCAATCCATAAACGTAGACAAGAGTTTTAGAAGATGTCGGAAGCCATTGTGCCACCTTTGTGGCTTTCGACATTTCATTTGCAATAAAATGAACAAATCCATTTGAACTTCTCGTTGTGAAATCAAGGAAACTCCAGGTGGAACGAATCTTCGACAGGCAGCAACTCTTGAGAAGAAGCCACACAAACGACACGCATGGACACACGTTTGGAGACGACCTACAAAGGTGGCTTCAACGGCACACCCCACCACAAACCCTTGTGAACAACCTCCACATCATTTAGAATCGTCGCACCTTCTTGCTTAACTTTGCTGGGCAAACCAACGACAACACCCGTACCTAATCGGGCCTTGCACGGACTTGAGCCGATCGATGCCACACCCGTGGCTTTGGCAGTGTTCAGATGATCGAAGTCAGCAAGATCATCATTCCGGAAAAGCATACGCAACGGAACAAGCAGTCCGTAGAGATTAGCTAAGCTGGCTTAGTGGGTCGTACTCACCTGTTGACGGAGGATAAACTGGAGATGCTTGGGACTGTCCAAACTGATCTGACCGACTGGCTGAGGGTGGACCTAAAGGAGGGTGATAAGGACTGGCAGGCGCCCTGAGTGAAAGAGAGAAAAAGGGAGAGGTGAACATTTGAGCTTGGAGGAGTTGTGAATAACTGGGGAGGGGGGTGGGGGGGGGGTTGACGGGGGTTTGGGGGGTTTGGGGGAGGTCTGCTTGTTTGGGCACCCCAAGATTTGGTCGCGTACTTGTTTCTTTTTTTTGAAAGCCGTCTTCCGGGGTTCGGTTTCCCCGACTGCCGTGGCTGGGGTCTCCAAATCTGCTTTATTTTTCTTGGGTAGACAAAAAACAAACGACGCAGAATCCGAGCATCTTATTTTCCGTATTCACTACCCAGATGTGGGTCAAGGTTTGGAAGGGATGTGTGCAGTTGAGAGATGGGTTGGATCTCGGGCATGCTTGCCAGCGAATCGACTTTTGACCTTTCAGTTTTGCCAGTTTTCCTCCGTCTTAGTCAAGATCCCAACAGGTCAACCTACAATTTGCAGTCGTTTGAGGAAGCACCAACCAGTCGACATGAGCCACACAAGATAGCCAGGAAGGAAGGGAGTTGAGATCGCTTGCAGAGCTTGCGTCGAAAGAAAAGCAACCAAGCAATCGGCCAAAAAACAACAAGAGCAACAACACAGAAGCAGAACAAAGGAAGCTCAACCAAGAAGCGAGAAACAAAGAAGCTCAACTAAAGACAAAAATATGACAAGCACGACAAAGAGCCGGTCCCTTACCACTCGGCACTCCGCGGGAGGCCACGGTGCTTTTGCCCTTCGTGGACGAGGGGCGGCTGCGCGAGGCCCGCCAATAGAAAAAAGGGGGGGGGGCTAGGTCTGTTTTGCAACCTGGTGCCTTCGGGTTCTTGGCTGCAACATATACTCTAAGTGTCCATGGGGCGGGGGGGGGGGGCGGGGGGGGTGGGACGGGCTTGCTGAACCCCGGCCCTAGTGAATTTTGACCACGAGAAGAACCAACCCATTTCGGAGAACATGAGTTATGTTATGTAAGAAGGAACCATGTTACTATATTTGATGCGGTTGCCAGGGTATCGGTGTTTGGGCCCCCTGTCGGTTTGTGGTGGTACTTATTTGGGTGTTTCTCAAAATTTAGGCCCCCTCCAGGTGCATGTTTTCTTCCCCGCCTTGAAACCATACCAAGACGGGTTCCATGATTTTGAATGGGGTGCCCCTCCCCCAACAAGAAGCAGCAGAAAAAGAAAAAGGGAAAATAACTTAGTTGTCCTTTTGCTGTCCTCTTAAAACCAACCAAAAGGGGGTTCCCCCCAAAAAAGACGCAATCATTGCAGAGGGGTGGATCCATTTGGAGCTCTGGAGGCCTTGGCCACTGTCTTCAACGTGCGGGTCCCGGCCCGGGCGAAGCGCGAAGCGCAAAGCGTGCCAACAGGGGTCTACCCAATACTCGAACTGGGCTTTGTTGCGTTTTGCTTGGATGTTAGGACTTTAACTTTTTGCCAACCAATGGTTTTTCCATTAAACCACTAAAAGTTTAACTTTTAGCAGGGGAGCAGAAAGCAACCGAGTGGGGGTTGATCAATATTCCGTTCGGCCCCAAAAGGTCATGCGCGACTTCGTCCATTTAGTGGGAACCATCAGCTTTGTTTGTGTGGGTTCCCTAATGATCATCTCATGCAAAGGACCTTTTGATCAACCCCCCATATACATGCAGGCATACACACATACGTACATATATTGATCACGCGTTCTTCAAAACATCATAGCAAGGGCGGTCTTTTCGTGCTTGTAGAATCGCCGAGTAGCATGGGCAGCCGTGGGCGGCCGCCGGGAAATCGGGCACCGGGCTGTTGCCCCCTCCGTCGGGGTTGACTTCTGAGGTACCCAGTTCAGGTTGGCAGGGGAAGCCTTCCGAAATCGGACTTGGGTTTTGGTCCATTCCCTAAAAGGGTTTCCCTAAAACAGTGCCCGGCCCCAAAACACCTAAACTTCGTAGACCCCTTTCGTAGCAAGTGGTTTGCTTTGCTGGCGTTATGGCCATCATGCTTCATGGCATGATGGTTTGTGCACCAGACTCTGAAAATCAAGATGCCAAGAAAGAACCGAACGAGGGCTGAAACCACCCGAGGCTTCTGACTGCTGACAGTCTGAGCGTTGTTTCGCGAATATGGCCTAAGGACTTGCGGGAAAACCTCCAGGTGGTTTCAGACAAAAACCCAACTGGGCCTGGCTCCCTGTTTTGGGTTGGTTTCAAATGAAGCCACAACGAAGCCGGCCTTGTTCGGGTCACCGCCCGATTCGAGGCCAGCCTTTCGTTAGATGGTCCGCAAGTTGCGCTGAGAAACGCGAGCTCGCGTGCTCTCCGAGGACAGTGACCTCTCCACTCCGCGGCCGGCGCAAGCCTGCTGCGTGGAGGCAGAAAAGGAGGCGCAACCGATGCAACGGTCTCTGCACAATGTCCGAAGAGCGATCTGGGGGTAAGTTGGGGTTGTCTCAAAACAGGGGAACCCCCAAAATGGTTGGGTTCCTTTTGGTCTCCCTTTAAGAGCAAGAAGCCACCAAGCGGGGGTTTCCCCCAAAGAAGGACACAGGCATTTGTTTTCTATGCAGGGGATTTCGTATTTGAGATGTGGCAATCCACGCTCCAAGGCCTTGGGCTCCATTTGGGGGGCGGGGGGGCGTATTTTGTGGCGGATCCAGAAGGGAAATCGCCATATTGGGGTTCCCCAAACAAGACTGGGTGTTTCAACCAAAATAGGTATTTGCATTTCATGGTGGGTTTTCTTTTGGTTTCCCTCCAAGTCTCAAGACCAAAACAGGGTCCACCATTTTGAGAAACATGCATATGTCTATGTATATACATATAAATATGGTACCCCCCCCCCCGAGAATTTGACGGTATTTGCAATACTCTTACACGATTTCCCCCCTTTTTCACGCACTCCAATTTTGAGCATTTGACTATGCCCGCATTTGCTGACATTTGACTGTGACTGTATCCACCTAAAGCGCTTAAAAGCGCTTTAAAACACTTTCGGATCTAAGATTCAAGATTCAAGATTCCTAGGACTCTAGATCTTGAATCTTGAATCCAGATGGGACCCCCAAAACGCTTTGAAGCGCTTTGAAATCGCTTCAAATTGTTTTTATTGTCGTTTGGACGCACTTGGCCTTCAGGGCAGCCCCGTGCGCTGCTGGAGCTTCAAGCCGGAGGAGGAGCTTCCTGCGAGCAGAGCCAGCCGTTGGCCCCAGCAAAAAACCCAGAGCGCGATCGATCTTTCATAAGGATGCCTTGAGTAAAACGGTGTTTATTGGTTTTAGCTTGGTTCTGATCATCTGAAATTCCTTTACTCTAGGGGTACTTTCTTTCTGATATTTTTTTCAGGGATCTGGATATAAAACCAATCAACTAGCGGTGAGAGGGAGAGCTATTGTAGGCAACCACAGGCTGGGCTTGTCGCAGGATGCCATCCTCACAGGGCCATGTGTGCATCGCATGTGCATCCCGCACCCGTGCGTTCCCCTGGCTGGCTT